CTTCTAACGTTTTGCCCACATCCTAGCTAACAGTAACAATATTACATTATAATATAATGTAATATTGTTGGTGTTAAAAAACATTTTTTGTAGAATCATAAGTACGTACTTATAACCTAATTTGACAACGTCATAACGTTTCAACATTTGTTGTATGAACATTAGTTTATGAAATACTATGCTATAGTATAAGAATGTTATAATAACGTTACAGATTGGTGTTTCATGAATGTCATAGGAACGTTTTGTGTTTGCTGCGATGTTAGTACCTTAATGGGTATATACATTGCAATCATCACAAAAATCACAAACCTTCTAAATAAGCATCATAACAATTATTGTTCTAAATAAAATAGATTTTCATCACTACAATCCTTGGGAAACAGTTACTAACTAAAGGGGGGGGGGTTGCACGTATTTGTTTTATGGTATGCCATATTTCAATACAAGCAATTGTGTGTATTAAAACTTTAAAATGTAGGGGAAAATTCCCCTCGTTCTCCCTTCTCCCTTTTGTATCCGCTCCTGGTTGGGACACATTCAATTTAAATAATAATTTAGTTCCCATTTGAAAAGCCAATAAACTAATACACAGTGTGATATCACAATGCCCTCCGACCAACCAAAAAAAAAAATCAAAATAAATAAAAACAGGCTTAGGTCTAGCCATCGCTTTAAAACCGGTACATAGCTTGACATTTTCAGCTCTGTTACGGTTTTAAAAGGCCAACCATAAACAAAATATTTTCCCCCTTTTTTCCATCAAAGTTTACTTCGATTGTATTACATAGAGGGCGCTTGTTTGGACATTTTTTCATAGCCACAGTATGGTTTTGCTTGACCTGACCTATACAAACTTCTAACGTTTTGCCCACATCCTAGCTAACAGTAACAATATTACATTATAATATAATGTAATATTGTTGGTGTTAAAAAACATTTTTTGTAGAATCATAAGTACGTACTTATAACCTAATTTGACAACGTCATAACGTTTCAACATTTGTTGTATGAACATTAGTTTATGAAATACTATGCTATAGTATAAGAATGTTATAATAACGTTACAGATTGGTGTTTCATGAATGTCATAGGAACGTTTTGTGTTTGCTGCGATGTTAGTACCTTAATGGGTATATACATTGCAATCATCACAAAAATCACAAACCTTCTAAATAAGCATCATAACAATTATTGTTCTAAATAAAATAGATTTTCATCACTACAATCCTTGGGAAACAGTTACTAACTAAAGGGGGGGGGGTTGCACGTATTTGTTTTATGGTATGCCATATTTCAATACAAGCAATTGTGTGTATTAAAACTTTAAAATGTAGGGGAAAATTCCCCTCGTTCTCCCTTTTCCCTTTTGTATCCGCTCCTGGTTGGGACACATTCAATTTAAATAATAATTTAGTTCCCATTTGAAAAGCCAATAAACTAATACACAGTGTGATATCACAATGCCCTCCGACCAACCAAAAAAAAAAATCAAAATAAATAAAAACAGGCTTAGGTCTAGCCATCGCTTTAAAACCGGTACATAGCTTGACATTTTCAGCTCTGTTACGGTTTTAAAAGGCCAACCATAAACAAAATATTTTCCCCTTTTTTTCCATCAAAGTTTACTTCGATTGTATTACATAGAGGGCGCTTGTTTGGACATTTTTTCATAGCCACAGTATGGTTTTGCTTGACCTGCCCGTGCGTGATCGTGTGGATCGGATCAACACATATTATTTTATGTTTCAAAGCCAAATACATAAGTCTTTATTATTAAAACTGATAATATTTTTGTTAAATTTATTTTAATATACACTTAGTATTTAATTCGTCATTACTTGGAATATTTTTGGTTTGGCAAGTTTGCCATCGTTTCATTGTGGTGCATACAAGTAACTAGGCTCGAGCCCTTAGGCCAGGGTTTTCATAATAGGGATTGCATTTTCAGGCCTATCCTATTTCAGGTAGGCCTACTACTAAAAAAAAAAAAAAAAAAAAAATCCAACAGACCGAACTTGATTTTTTCCATTTAAGGCCAACACAACAATTTTTTTTTTGGTCTAACATTAACAAGGACAAGGAAATGAAAATGGGAAAAAAAATTACAAATACTGTCTGGGCCTATGGCTACCATATGTTTCCTACTAAGACGTAGTGTTGCTTTGAACTCTAACACTACTTTATTTATGTGTATAAAACTATTCCACAGAAGCTTATAAATCACTTGCCTAAACAAAATTAGGTGTGTGTTATTTAATCCCCTACCATTTGAAAACAAGCCCTGTGAATATTTAATACATGTAGCTTACCACAAACTATGACTGATTGAAAAAAGCCTTTGAAACAAATATTTTATCCTACAACACACTTGTCACAAGCAATTTTATCAGAAATAATTAATTAGCAAATTCATAAGATTTCTGTAATATTTGGTTTATTAAGTGTTTAGTCACACATTATCAGCCACAATTTGTGTGCCATTCGGTGTCTCGGGAAAAGTCCAATTACGTATAAAAGATGAGGATGCGAGTAGAAACCAATGACTACTACTAACACACCTTTGTTTCACCTTAGACTCTATTCTCTAAGGTACTTAATTAGCATAAACGATGTTGCATTGTCATTGTGCTAATTACAGTATAGATACCGTGATTGCGACAAGTCATGGAGCAAAGTGTGATCCATTAAGATTAGCAGTGTAAAAACCTTGTCACATTCCTTAAACCACAATCAAGATTGATAAGTCATAATACTGTAGTAGAAATAATATCATTCTCTATTACATTCTGTTCATATAAACAAATTAAAAATTTCAAATCATGGTTACTTACCAAAATTATGCAAGAAAAACAAACAACAGAAAAAGCAAGGAACTTGATTAATAATATAACAAGGCAACTATTAATTTACGCTCTGAAGGAAAAAGGTTTTCTGATATGTTGTACAATTGATTTTTCAAAGACACAAAATGGGTGTTTTACAAGAAAACTTGGAAGGGTTAATGAGATACAGATATTGGAAAAAATGACTGTGTTGTCTATAATACTACTGTAAAACTCTGCAAATAAGACTGACAATTTCTCAAAATGCAATAAAAATGACATTAATCATTCATTTAAAACTAGAAGCTGAAGCATGGAAGTACAAACATCTTTATTATACCTCTACATTTGAAAAAATACAATACTGTACAGTAAGGTAAAACAATCAGAGTGATACGGAAATTACTGCACATGCAACCACTTTCACTTTCCGCAGAGTATTTACAGGTAGTTGTTCAACAGTCACAGTACATTATAAACAGGCCAACATATTTATTTATTTTATTAATATTATTTATTCTCATACAAAACAGCAATAAATTGCCATGAACAGGATTGTAAAAAGTGATATTATTTATACATTAGTAATGTCATATTGCAATATCACACACTCCTTTTATACAGAGTGGAAATAGAAAAGATATCATTGACAGAAAGTTACAGTAGGTTACTTAAATTTACCGAATCACAGTCAATCAAAAAACAACAAGGTCAGGATGTTTATATTTTAAAAGGTATCAATGAATCAACACAGCCCTGCCTAGACCTAAAAACAAAAATTAATAATGTAGTACATGGATAATTTTCAAAGGTTTACTGTACACCTGTTTAGTATAAATCTCATATATTTAATGTTGGCACAAAATTAATTTTAATGGAGAAATATTTGAACATGTATCATGCTATATGGAGAGGTCAAAGGTTAAATATACTACTATGTGGAGTATCTGTCTATTCATGATGTTTGTTATCAAAACCATGCATCTTGATATTAAGGAACTAAAACTTTGACATGTTCTTATCTGATGTAGACTTTCTGCTCGGATGCTTGAATGATGTCTTCAAAATAAATCAATTCATGATGTGATCTTTAGATAAGAAATCATGAGGCTATCAAAAAAAAACTGAAATCGCTGTTAGGCTAAGCTTATGTTGCCCTTGCGGATCCACTCATATCAACTTTCACACACGCGCCATCACCGAGATGTGCAAGCGACTAGGCAGAGTGATCTCACTTCCACCTGCAATATTAGCTATACTTTGCCATGCAACACTACCACAAGAAGAAAACATAGAAAAGGAAAAGAAAAGATTAAATAGAAAGGAGAGATAAACTCTGACATGATGAAATGAATAGAAAGAAAAAGAAATGAAAAAGAAAAGATAAGATGAAAATAAATCAAAAGTAAAGAAAACAATAAAATGAAAAGGAAAAGAAAAAGAAAAATTTCAATGAATAAAGGAAAATAATAGAAATAAAGAGAAGGAAAAATGAAAAGATATTACCAAGAATAAAAGTAGATTAAAAAAAAAGAAAAAAAGAAAACCTATCCCTAACCTCAACTCCAGTCTTATTATCTATTCTTAATGTTAAGTTTAGGGTGGAGTACTAAAGTGCATTATCGCCAAAAAATTGATAAATATTAATTATTATATAACAAAAAACAGTTTTAGAAGACACTGTAATTAAGCACCAAATTGGCTGGAAGAAGGTAACAAGCCCCATTTTACCATATTGACCCCTCTCTGGCAGGTTTGTGCTTCAACCTGTAACCATCACCCCACCCCTACTTAAGGCGCAACCTACAGTATGGCGTCACAGCCTGCTACTACTAGATAATAGATAAGACAATTACCTAGGCAGTCTACCCTTTAGGCTAATTGAATTAATTATAGTCTATCAGTATCAATACGGTATGCCTTTATAACATATGCCTAGCTATAGACTATAGAATATCATAGACATACAGAAGAACTAGAAGGGAGTTGTTATCAACTCCTACCTGTAGCTATAAATATCATAGCCATAGCAGGGAGTTGTTGTCAACTCCCTGGACATATCAAAGGTAGGGACTAGGACTAGCCTAGGCTAGCTTAATTAACAAATTAATCATCATTTTGTGAAAGTGGATACTGTAATTAAGCTCATATATTTTTTTTATCTATTCTAATTACCTTTATTCTCAGTATCATCTTGGACTGTCTGAAATCCAAGAACAGCTGTTTCATTCTTTGATCCTTCTTCTCTACACTGAAAAGAATCGGAATCTCTCGGTTTGTTTCTAGCCCAGACAATACCATCATCGCCGCCTGCAGCGGTCGAGGAGTATGATGGGTCATTCTCCCCGTGTAAGGTTAGCCTTCCAGTAAACTCAAGCTCGAAGACATCATCCTCAAGTTCGCTCTCTGATGCAGAGCTTACCGGATCGTCGATCTTAATATCACATGCAACTTTCTTTAATTTTGAAGCCATTTTGAAGATAAAATTAAATATGTAGTCATATTTTAATTCTGAACTAACACAAATTTAGTCCGAATTCAGAGAGACACCACCCCAGCACTCACTTTTAGCAAACGATCTTCCATTTTACAATTACTATTTTGATGACATACATCGCATCCATTAAAAATCGTCTATTCAATAAACAAACATGTCGTGAACGGATCCGATATTTTATCGAGGGCGGTATTTAAGTGAAGTTGTTTACAGTTGCCTGGTCACAATTTTATTAGCCTAGGGCCTAGGCTTTAGATGAGTGTTTTTTATGTTACAGGTTTACAATTCTTTCCGATAATTCAAAGTTATGACACAACTCGAAATTGACCCGTTAGCTCTGGAAATCACAAATGAGTTGAATGAAGAAAAGCGGTGCAAAACCGGAACATGGGAGCATGAAAATTTAGCTCAGGTCTGTGCATAACATAAAAGTTGATTTTCGCTGCGATGCAACCCACTCTCTACCTTCTGTCCCTCCTAACTCTGAATCCTTTTGATGAATCTTCCTTGGCCTGGTGGGGCTGGGTAGGCTACTAGAGTAGTACCATGGGCCCTAGATATCTAGGCCTAAGAGGCTGTATTATTATTACCATTATGTCCTGCAGAAGGACTAGGCTTATATTACTTTTATTATAATTATTATTATTTTATGTTTTTTGATTTATTTTCGTGAACGTCATAATAATATAATAATAATTAATATAGGGCCTAGGCTAATTCTTTATTTGCCCTCGTATATGTATGCCTTCAGGCTGGGTCCCCGGGGACCTGCGGCTGCCATAGCTCGGCGCCAAATACCCCACATACTCTACAACATCAAACGGATACAGACTGATACATACATGGTCCTTAAATCGCCTAACTCTCCTGAGAGGGTTATTCGAGGAGCTGAGCGTTTTTGTTATCATAAAAGACCCGAATTCAATACTCGATGCAGAGCTGGGTATCGAACCTGGGCCCTGGTGTGCAAGAGCCATGAACCATACCAATTAACCAAACGCTCAGTTCTCTCTGCAATTTAATAATACTGCAATTGTAGACAAGTTTGCTTTGTTTTTACAGTTGCGTTACAAAGTCCTGCGTGGACATCTGGAGGGTATTAATTCTGCCAAGTTTTGCAAAAATGACTCTTGTCTCGTTACAGCATCAGATGATAAATCATGTGCATTGTGGGTAGGTTGAATTAAACTGCTTTCCATTGTATATGAACACATCGAGTAATAAGCCCCATTTTAACAAAACAGCGTTGAACTATATATTAATTAAAGTAAAGGATAAATTTTTAAAATTATTTTTAATGAGGATGGTAATTAGGAGGATAATATATGACAAATCATTTTGAAAGCAATGGTAATAATAATGATTATGATATTTATGATGTATGATGATGATGATGATGATGATGATGATGATATTTATGATGTTTATATTGATAATAATGATAAGAAAAGTCTGATCAGAACAGCAGCTACTAATTTTCGATTATCCAAAACTGACCACTTTTGCTATGGAGTCCAGGAGAAGAAACTTCTAATGTTGGAGATATTATAAAAAAATAGATGTATAAAAGAGACAGCCCTGGTAGAGACTGGAACCATCGCAAATATGCCATGAGCAAGTATGATGAAAAAACCTAAGTAAGTAAGTAAGATAGTAATAATGATTTTGGAGATTGTGATAAAATTTAATGCACCTTTGATTTTGATTTTATTATACCTTCTGTAGAATACTTCCACAGGTGACAAATTGCAGAAATATGAAGGTGCAACTATGCAAATTAGCCAATGCCACCTGTCTTCTGATGACAGACTATTAGCTGGTGCATGCTGGGATAAGAATCTGTATGTATGGGATTCGGAAACTGGCCAAATATTGGTGAGTTATTTTATATGGGTAACGTATCTGCTTGTGGTCGATAAGCCGGGGACTCACAGCGTCGTACGACAGTCGTACGGCCAAAACGCAACGAATCCAACGCGACTCTCTGTGAGCGCTAGACAATGCAATGCCACCTGCTGATTGGCGGTGGTAGTCTGAACGAATCGTCATTAAAAACGATCCGTTTCCCACACATTTTGCATTGTGTTCTTCATAGAATCGCGTCAGCCGGCAACCGTTGGGCGTAATCAGTGCCCGGCTTTATACTCTTATTTACTGCAGACACATACTTGCCAAATTAGCTCATTTTGTGTCTACCGGTATACACAAAGCAAATTACTTTTCTTAATTTGTGAAAGCATACGACTTAAAAAGAAAAAATGTAATATTCTGACAGCCAAAAGCAAATACGAAATTTGTCACGTACAGGAGGGAAATTAGATAAACATAACATAAAAAATAAACATATAAATATGTAATTAAAAATATATATGGGAAAATACAAACATATAAGACTAAACATTTTTTGAAATATTCTTATGTTACAGAATACCATATTATTAATGAAAATATCAATCGTTACAAAAAAGGAATCATATAAGCTTGACTTGTTTTAGAGAAACCACATTACATTAAAAGCTAATAAAATAAACTGTTATTGCTTTGCTCTAAGCATTCCCCTCATAAAATTTAGTTAAAATATACATGATTTAGTATAAAAGAATATAAATAATTGTTTAATGAATTCTAGTTTATCGTTTGCAACAGGGAGGACCTAGAATGTTCTCCAAACAAGGGGTGAATCCACCATTTCTGACTTTATTTTGATAAAAAAAATTGCAATTTTTACAATCAAAACTGTGGTCATGAACCTCGGTTATTCTGAATCCTCTCAATATATGCAAGAGGATGAAAGCCACTTAAAGCACAGACTGACAGCTCTTTTAGCCTCATTTCCTTACAATATTTTATATTCCCAGTGGAAAGGCTTGCATGCTGGCATCGTAATGTGTTGTGATTTCTCACATAGCAGCAACTTAATAGCATCTGCATCCGATTTAGATTTTCAACTCCACATTTGGGATGTTCGAGAAAAGTCTTCTGTTAAAAATGTTAAAGGTAAAGTATATTGTACTCTTACACCCTGTCCAGCTATCAAATTGTATTTGACAATAAATTGTTGTATGCCTATATTTATTATATTTATATGATGTGCCTATATTATGGTCATGATCTGTGATGTTATTATGACCATATTTAGGCATGTCACATGTGTTTTTTCAAATAAAATTTGGTAGTCTGGATACTAATACTAATCTATAAATTAATCATAAAATAAAAGTATATTTATGTATCTCTGCTGAAACTTGCAAGCTACAATGGTGGCAGTTAATATGCATGACCTTTATCAATACATTCCAATAATTTTAGAATGCCATTTTTAGAAAAGTGATCTTTGAAGCACATTAACACTTTTTTATGCTGATCATTTCCAATTCTCACTACTGATGTGACGTCAGTACTTTTCGTTAGTGCCTGGATATGTATATACACATGTGTGGCCACCTGCAAAACTTGATAGAAGCGGTTTGTGTTCCATTTTGTGATTTAATGGAATTTGATAGAAGCAGGGTGTGTTAAGACTAGGTTGTTGTGTGATGGCTAGCTGTTGTGAATGGTCATTGGAATGCCAACAAAATTATACGATAGATAAAATTGTCTTGATTTATGTTTGATACATAGTACCAACTCAGGCCCCAATAAAGTATTTGCATTATTGTTTGCCAATGGCTGAGGGTGAATTTTCACCAGAGGCAGTGGCACATCTAGGAGTGTGCAAGCCCCCACCCTCAAAAAAACCTTGTGCTGCCCCAGTCAACCCCCACATTGAAAATGTCCAAAGAAAAAAATCATGCTCAAGTAGTTAAAAATCACATTATTTTGTGACCTAGCGCCCCCGCCACTTGCGAGAAGGACTGGCCTCAGTCTCCTGTACGTAGGACAGGCTACAGCTAATAATTGTAATAATAGTTATAATATAATGTAATTTATCTTTCATATTTTGACTGATATTTCTTTTGTAATAATGATTGGTTGTTAAACAGTCATTAGAGACAAATTATGTCACCCTCAAATCTGACCAAAGTTCATTTTTACAACAAAATATGTTATTGTTATAGACAATCCTCTTCATCTATAAAATGATAGATTGTTAAACAGCCATCAGAAAGGTATGTTAATACGCAATAGTTTTACCCTCAAATATGACACTGGTTCTATTTTATTACTGTAAAATATGGATCCCCTGATGAACTAGGCTAGTTGGCATCACAGTTCACCTTGTCAACTCTTTGATGCTGCCCCCAGTACGAATGCTAAGATACTACTTATACATTTGGCTCTACCTAAAAATACCCCAAAAAGACCATGAAATATGTGAAACTTACTGGTCTTGTGTGGCTATCAGGAAAGGCGTCTTTAAACTAATTAGTAAATCGTTCTTGATTTCAGGCTTATATGAAGTTAGCTGTGCATAATTTCAGTAACAAGACATAAACATCCACTCACCATTTCTCACTGTAAACTACACGCCAATTTTGACTCTGCCTTTAAAGATTGTGAAATTTGCAATTACTTGTACTTGTCTTATTTTATAACCGAGGGAGTTTTGAAAGGTAAATTAGATGATAAGCCCAATATAATGTTTGTCAATTTTGTTAAATTTTGATTTTACACAGGTAGTGCGGTAGTAATAATACGAAATGAAGTAAGGGTATTTGTAGATTCATTGGTGGTAATAGGTAAGAGAGGAAATTAACAAAAATAGGACAGAGACTACACATTGATTAAATGAGAGAGTTAGGAAGGAATATAAGATGGTAGAGGATGGGCAAATGCTTTATGCTGCATAAATTGGACAGAGAGACTCCACAAATTAAGTCCTTTGGAGCTGTGGTTAAGGAATTATATTTGGATGTTTTAGTAATGCATAGGGAAAGATGGTTTAGTAATGCGGGAAAAACTGAGATGGTATGCCGATGTTGCTAAGTATTTTGAAATCATTAAAATAAAAGATATAAGGTAGATGGAAAAAGGAGGTACCAAAAGTTTTTCAGTAGGTGCCTGTCTGATATCACTTCTTTTTCCAAGGTCCTTTTTACTGTTTTTTTTCCTCAATTTTGCTATTTAATAATGTTGAAAATTGAAATAAACAGATGAAAGTGTATAAACTAAAATCAGGTTCTTTACCCCAGCAGTATCTGAAAACCTTCCCCCTTCCAGTTTGACAAATGTCAATTCCCCTTCCTCACTAGGAAATACTGAATGATGAGGAAAGATATTGAAATAGAGTCATGTTCCTTTTTATAGCTCCCCATTCCCACCTTTTCCCTAACATTTTTAGTCTGTTTTTCAGGTTGTCAAAACAGTAGCTATGCTAATTCAGACTCAATGTTGTCAGTGGTCCAACTGTCATCACACTGATGATTCAAAACATGTCAATAAATTCCTTGAAGGAGGACCTGACAATTAGCTGCCAACCTATCCAAAATATATTTAAGGAACTCGGTATAATTAGTAGGAAAGAAGAAGGAGATAATAGGAAGTGCCTTAGGCTAAGGCCCACATTTTCACAGTAGGCCTAAGTAGCTTGATAGCTCAGTTAGTGAGTGAAACGCTGTGCCTGGATGTTGCTGACTGTCGCCAGCCAGTACTTTTTCAAATTTGATGTATCATTCATTCATTATCATTATTAACAGTTATGTATTAACTAAGAGGTACTACTGTAGATGGTAATTGTTCAAAATAATCCCCTAGTGAATAGATAATCATTATAACTTTTATGCTATTAACACTCTGCCCGCCAAGGATGGAGATCTTTGTGTTTAGTAACACAACGCTTGACCGCCAAAGACAGAGATTTCCGTGTTTCAGGTTTTTTTACAGAATCCGTATGATGGGGTAATTACCGACATGTACTAACAATTTGAAAACTATATTCACTGTGGACCGTAAGTATTTCACTATTTGTTTGTTTACATTAGCGTAGAGCGGTATTGGTTTATGTTCACAAAATTGCGATTATCTCAGCTTCGTTGTGCGAAATTGTGTAAATCTAAAAAAGTGAGTCATTTTCATTTTACTGTTACGGGTCACAGATTGTGATTAGAATAAAGTGTTTTTGGTACCATTGTAAAGCTAAAATGTTTGTACTTCTTGTAGTATTCACTACATGTCAATCTGATCACATACACACTCCCAACGAGCTACAGAAACATGTTAAAATTTGCTAAAAAGTCTAGTTGGCAGTGGCTGATACTATTTTTTTCAAACCCCTGGCGGTCAGAGTGTTAATAGATAAATCACATCACATGATAAGCCACATGATAAACAATCATGCCATAAGTCACATGATGTTATTTATGTTCATACATTCGCATATTCATGACCATTGAGGCTTACCTCAAGAACACTGGCACTTCATTTTTAAGAGCCAATTAAGGTTCATCTACAAAGTACAGTGATCCAACCATTTAAAAATCCTATCAAATTGGAATAGTGGAATTCCTGTCTCTTATACACATCTAGATGTGTATAAGAGACAGAAAGTCTAGTTGGCAGTGGCTGATACTATTTTTTTCAAACCCCTGGCGGTCAGAGTGTTAATAGATAAATCACATCACATGATAAGCCACATGATAAACAATCATGCCATAAGTCACATGATGTTATTTATGTTCATACATTCGCATATTCATGACCATTGAGGCTGACCTCAAGAACACTGGCACTT